GGGGGGGGGGGGCTCTGATCAGTTACTTACAAGAGCCATGAGCAGCTTTCTAGGTTTAGGAAAAGCAGTGGTAGGAAACACATTAATACATTAATACATTACAGGTAATTTTCCTTCATTTAAATTGTAATCTCCGTTTTAGGCAGTGAAATTTTGCTTATCAGGTTGCATTTCAACTCAAATCATCAAAGCAAAATTTTATTGAAAGATTTCAAAATTCGTAAACAAATCACTTTGTTTCTTATTGTATTTGTAGTGTATTGTGTATAGTGTATACATATTTTTGTCAAATTAAATTCTTATCTGAACAAATCAGAGTAAATTTTTAAAAGATGCATGGTTTGTTTTTTATTATTACAGGAAGTAAGGACAGAAAGTAAAATGCAATAGGCCAAACCTGGATTTTTCAAATCATAGAGAATAATTTATAAGGACATAGGTCATCATAACAAGGGTGGAAAATGAATATGATAACCAGGCAATAGCAAAGTAACAACAGATAATTTGATAAATGTCATATCAAATGTGACAAAACCCCATATACTAAAATCTATCATGTGAAAATGAACGTGTAATAGCTGCTGCTAATGTCTCTTTTAGTATATTTAGTCTCTGTGCTGAACGTAGCATTCACCAAGATTGATTTCTGGTGATATATTTATCAAGAGATGAATTAAAATTTTGAAGAAAAATGTTATGGTGCAAAAACTTGGAAATGGGACACTGGTGGGCTGACTTACTTCCTCATAGATTTAGCAAAACATATTATACATGTCATATTTTTAAATATGGATTGTGGAATAAGCTGTTATTAAAAGTTATTTTGATAAGACTGTATTCTCCATGTATATGTATATATATCTAGCTTATCTACTACATTGTACCATGAAAGTAAATATTATCAATATTTATCATCCCTGTAAGCTTGGTTGAAGACCAGATATAATTATGCAGTATTAGTATAATTTAATGCAGTCATTTCTAAATTATGACTTATGTACATGTGATTATCAATAAGATATTGTGAAGCACTATATATATATAGTCATAATTATATATAATTATACATGTAATTGTAATTTGGATTCTGCATACAAGGTTTTTGTTACAAATCATTAAATTAATTTTTCCTTTTTTTACAGAAATGTTCCAGGTCATGGATATTAAGCAGAAAGCCTTATGTAAGAAGACACCAGGATAGAAACAAAACTCTGGACAATTTTATGTGAAAAAAAATTCAAATACATAGGTCCTGTAAATGTGTTATTGATTTGATACATACAATTCATACTACAATGTACATACTCCAAAGACAAATATTCCTATCTTTGCTTCTTAATCTGTATTTATGTTTCAAAAATGTGATTTGATTAAAATCAATGTAAATTTTCAAAATGTGTTTTATTCATTTTTTTCTCTCCCGTTATAAAATGACTAAAATACATAGTAAGTTAACTTAGTAAATGTTAATAACTTTCCAAGAATGTATTTCTCTGTGAATTTTCACTCAGGAATTCTGATTCAGATTCATATTCAGAATCTGATATTACACTTGTAGTTTATTCTCAAATTCAAGATATGTTTACTTGTATTAGAATGAGGGTTTACAGAACTACATTGTATTAGATTCCAAAATCTGCATACATGCCCCCTTCCCTCTGGATTCAGCTTGAATATCACATGTACATTTCAACTTTATTCCAAGGTGTTTATAACAGTCCATCATGCATGTGTAACCAGATGCTTTTGTGCTCATTTGAAATATACATGTAAACGGAAAAGATTTTCATAAATTACTTTGTAAGCAGAGGAGCTTTGATCCCCCCCCCCCACACACACACACACACAACACACACACACACACACACACACACACACACATTGACTATTGTAAATAAGTGACTAACTACAATGTAAATGTGCAACCACCTCCCCACCTCCAGGCTCCTCCTCATATTACATGTAGTCTCAGAATCCCCCACTGGGAACTAGAATTTTCTCCTCGGATTGAATGTATTTAACTCGGTGCGTCTCAAAAAGTGAAAAAAATATTAAATCTTAAAAGTAAAAACTTTGTACATTAATGTTTACTTGGGGAGCTGTCTTAGAGATGTGTAACTGGTATGGTATTCAACCTGGCCTTCAAGCCTTCCAATGTTGATGCCTCCACTACTGATTCTGTAAAACGAATATGAAGTCGGTCCCATTACCGATAGTGTAGCAAGCCCCCCATGTGATTCACATGGGGCGGTATTATGTCAATAATGATAGATTTCCTGGATGAAAAAAACATGCAGATGCACAAGTCTGGTATCTATTATCATATTACGTCATTTCTTTGACAATAAACATTAAAATCCAAAACGAACATGACACACAGAGAAATCCAATCAAAAAATCAAATATTCCGCCATCTTCAATACTAAACGTCACATCCGGTTCTCACGCTCTGAAAGGCCGCAAGGTCAGTTTCCTTATAAGGAAATCATAGTAAATGACATTTCCCGCGAGATGTCAACACGAAAAAAAATGGACAGGAAATTAGAAGACGCGTTCGAAAAGGTAAAACAGAAATATGACATAGGTGTAACGTTGAAGGAGCAGCAAGTAAACATCATTGGAAGTTTGCTGAAGAAGAAAGATGTTTTTGCACTTCTTCCAATAGGATATGGGAAGACTTTCACGTTGCCTCCCTACTTCTGGATGAGTTATTTAAATTCTTTTATTATTACATTATTTTTCACTACGAAGACGAATAGACTTTTTAACAACATTGTCTGATCACTGACCCATTTTCAGACAAATACATTTCACACAAAAAGTCAAAATTTGATTATAAAATGTAATAATTATGGGGTCAAATCAATTAAGTTAATTGAATTACAAGTTTATTTAATCAAATTATGTTTTATTTACTGTACTTTAAAATTAAGAGATATATAATGAGTACAATTTGAATAAAATTTAATACAATATTACTTTTCACCCGACTTTTGGTCAACATATCTCTGGTCATATTCATTTTGAGTCAAATTTGTGGACTTATGCTGTATAAAATGTATGAGATTTGAGTTGATTTTGTTTACATTACAATAGATATTTCAATGATCCATTTTTATTATCAGATTGAAGGTGGGCAACATATAGCTCTGGTGATTTCACCACTAAAAGCACTGATGGCTGATCAGGTTGCTCAACTCCAAAAGAGGAACATTAAGGCAGCCGCTTTAATGGAGGACACCCGAGGTGAGCCATGAAGAATATGCAATCTTAAGATGTAATAATAATTAAATGTCATAATTACCCTATTGTCACCTATGGAGCAAATTATTAAAGAGGGAGTTTTCGAATACCCTTAAAGGATACACAGAAGATCTTAATAGCTATCTGTTGTTTTTTTGTATTGTTTACATTTCTTATTTATATATTTATGCATCATTACCTTAATCATTTTATGATTATTTCATTTTTAGATATAGCTGATGATGAAAGCATCATTTTTGTCTCACCAGAAGCTGCCACACTGACCAGGTGGAAAAGACTGTTAGGGGAAAAGTTCCAGAACCCGATATGTCTTCTTGCATTTGATGAAGCTCACTGCATTTCATCCTGGTATGATATGATTATAAGATTTACATAATCCAAAATGGTAGCATTTAATTTAGTGAGCATGTCTGTTCCTATTTTGTCATCTGTTAATAGACAGAAAACCATTCAATTACACCAATTGTAATTTTGATAATTACATAATTAAATCTGATTTGATCAGATTTTCGACCAAGCTACAGACAGGTTGCAGTACTTCAGAGTTACTTTGACATACCAACCCTGGTTCCTACAGCAACTGCAACTCAAAGAATCCAGCAGGATATTTATGAGGTGCTTGGATTAAGCAAGACAAATACAACAGTCATTGCAGAGCTTCCATACAGGTAATTATGATCATGAGTAAACATGGTATTGCCTATTAAAAATAGGTCGGTAACATTTTCTGATGACATTATGAAGCTTAATTGGTTGGAAATAACAGGGAGTCAATGGCCAAAGGTCAAAGTCACTTGGTCAATAGTCTAGGTCTATCTTTCATCTGGTTAACGTCAAGTTATTACAATATAAAGAAAAGTTGGTTATATTTAAACATGGAGTCAACTGACCCAAGGTAAAGGTCAAAGGTCAAGGTCACATTTTGTACCCTTCTTCTGGTAAAAAAATGTTATGAAGCAACATTGGTCAGAACTAAATCCCAATAAGACAGTTGATGATAATAAAAGCTGTAAGGGAAATTTAAGTTTATAGGGTAATTTGTTTCTTTTTTTTAACCCGATTCTGTCAATCCATCTCAGGGTCTGCCCATATACTTAAGGTGTAGTAGTATAAATTTAAATAATTATCCAATGCTCTTCCTTTTCAGGCCAAACATCTTCATGTCTATGAAAGATTCCAAGGAAAACTTTGAAGTGGAACTTAAATGGATTCTTGATCACCTAAAGGAACCTGAGGATGGGAAAAAGATGATTGTGTATGTTCGATCAATAAATCTCTGTTACCGAATATACTTATGGTTGACAACAGAACTGATGGATGTTAATGAAGAACTTGTGAAACGGATTCAAATGTTCCATGCAAACACTGACTCCGAAACGAAAGAGAAAATAATGCTGAACTTTGTTACAAATTGCATCATGGACTCTGGCATACAGCTTCTAATATCTACAGTTGCCTTTGGTTTGGGTGTCCATATCACCGATATCGATATTGTCATTCATTGGGGTCTTCCTTCAACAGCACTCGATTACTGGCAAGAAATTGGGCGATGTGCACGAGATGGACGAACTGGACATGCAATTTGTTACGTTTTCAAAAGTGTCGCAAAATGTGAAGACAATGCATTCATAGAAACAGCAAAAGTAGACAGGTGTATTAGAGTGTGTGTGCTAAGTCAGTTTCTATTGGAAGGCATGGACAGAACTGCCCTGGACAAATGAAATACAAATGAACATTGCCCTGGAATGTGTATGGATACATGTCTTTAAGATGTCAGTGTTGTGTCTTCTGTTTGCAGACCTGCACATGCAAGAAAAAAATGGACAACCCCCTTCATGTGTTTTTTGGTAAGAAGTGATGTGTGCTTCGCCACTTGCTGCAACTGTTGATGCATGTATTTTTGCATATCATGAGATTTTGTGATTTGTTCATGTACTGTTTTCAATACATCATAGCATAATGAATATCAGTACTAGTATGTGAAAGTAATACATGTATATGAAACTCATCAGAAACTTAATTTTGAGTTTTGTTCCTTTGAAATTGGGGTAAAACAATCTACCATCTACACTACCATACTTATGCTAAATGAGCCCAAGTATCACAGTAAAATTGACTGAACTTTGTGATAAAACGTGAGTGGTTGGGGATAAAATTTATGCTCGTGGCTATTCCTGTAAAACATCTATATATGTAAATTTGATCGACTGGCATATGGGCTTATTAACAGATGAATATGGTAGTGGAATTCTACATCTTTAATTTCTTGTTAAAAATAGTTTCTTTGTTGGGTTTAACACCCGTCGACAGCAATGCTCATGTAGACATCTGGGGCTGGGTTAGTGGGGATTTGTATCGTTTATGATGCCTTGTTTAAAAGGAAAAATCACGACAATTTCAGAATGACCAGTGATTTGTATTCAAATCTTCAAACAAGAAACATGCGAGAAATTGAACAAAGAAAAAAAGCATATTGTTCTGTGTACATGTGTACGGATCCAGGGAAATACCTGTTTTTCCTCCAAAAGCAAGATTGCAGATGATTGTTTTTCATCAAATCAGTGAATTTTTTCCAAACAACATGACCTCTGTTCTTTTTCAACGTAATTTTTCAATTTTTTTTGTGGGGTGCACATTCAAAAGTAGAGAATGGGCTTATCCCCCCGAATATGGGCCCTGCAGTGAATATGGGGGGGGGGGGGGGGGGGGGGGGGGGGCTTATTCCCGAGCATGGGTTTATACCTGGTAAAATACTGTTATACGGTAATGAAATCGCAAAATTTACCCCTACCCACACACATACACATAGAATAACCAAGTTTACAGTATTATATGTACACTCCATGGGACCTTCAACTTTGCATGTCAATAGTTTTCATATCCACCATTTCCCATACTTTCCAAATTTGGGGGAATATGAATAACAGTCAACAATATCATTCCATTCTGGTACCATGATGTCCATTATCACAGCTACAACATTTCAGCTGGTAAGATGCTGCAAGTGTACATTTAATTTTGTGTTTCATTTCTATTCATATGTAGTAGCTTCCTGCGCTTTGACACCGTTTTCCTAAACGGACCAGCCGAGCCTTGAATGTCTTTGACACTAAATTTGGATACGGTTGGTAGTCCATTGATTGGAATGATGCATGTCTCCGTTTTGTGTGAAACGTGAAGAGGTCCTCTTCTTTAAGGAGGGACACAAACTCCTCTATGTCCTTTTTCCTGCTCACACATCCAGTTCCGTGGACCAGTCTGCCAGATGTTCCCGATACATTCACAGTTTTACCTTTTCCAACTCTTTTCGAATTCCAACCATTTCACTATGGCGAGCGATTGTGTCTTGTGTGAGCTGGCCTGCAGCATCTTTCACACTTTCTGGAAAAATAACATATATATATCCAATTTAAGATATCATTGAATATGAACTGGTAATTTTTGGTCTATCTAAATACATATAGTGTTAATGAGCTGTAGGAAAATAAAGAATGACTTACAATAACAAAGAATCACATACACTAAAAGCGATTTTGCCTGGTGCATTGACTTGCAAAAGGTTGGGTCTCACCTACACAGACTACATTGCAAAGTAAAAATGGTCAAAACCACACTAGCCATGTCTGCCAATTTGTTTATTTTTTAAAGTTAATGTACGTCTTTGAGCAAGACACTTCCTAGAAGAGGACAGGATGTTTGTACAATATTTCCCGCAATTGGTACGGTTTGATAACCTATGTTATATATATAATGTCAACTTTGTACAAATAATATGTACCTTTGTAGTCCTCGTTAAAAAATTCCATCTGTAAGTCCATGGCGATGTTTTGCCCTTTCCTCCATGTGGGTTAACAGTCCGGTTCCAGCGAAGGGCATGCTGTAACCTAGGAGGGACAGCCCCATTGATGGCTGACAACAGTCGATGACATATGAGGAAATATTTTGGATAATGTTTGTCATAGAACTGGAGCATGTCATATCTCCAATGGAGTAACATCACCATCATTTTCTCTGATGGCATCCCGTCTTACCATTTGATTAAGACCTCTCCACATTACACGTTGTGTGTAGATTTGCTTCATGTCAACAAAAGCATCCACGGTCCTCTTTTCAATGCGTGCACCTTTCCCTGCTTTGCACACATCACTGCAAAACCATTTTCCTTCCGATATGTCGTTCTCTTCCATAGTGCCTTGTTTGGCATAGGTTCTGTCCCAAGGCCGGATATACCAAAGTGCTTAAAATGTAAGTGTTATCCCTGCTAAAAGCTCAACATTTAGGATAATGGTGACAGATGGTTTACCCGTTGTCAGTAAAACGTGACCGGTAAATGCTGTGTTGGTGCCTTCGGCATGGTGTTTCAGTCAGGTAGTACTCTAAGGTCGGCTCAGATCCTGGATATCGCAAGGGGGAAAATACATTCAAACCATCTTGCCTCCAGCAACCATACACAAAAGCAGGCATATATTACATACGTAAAGGCACGTCCTGGAATGATCTTAGCTGGTAAATAGACGTTAAACATTAACCAAACAATGCTCCGAACCAATCTGTACATTTACACTGAAAGGGTCCCTTGGATTAACACATTAATTTTGGCGGTGTAGAAGTGTTATTGTTTATCGCGTTGTGAAAATTAGCGCAAAAGTATCGACACCTGTATATTTATTCGAATATTACCAAACCGCAATCAATTTACTAGTATAAACATGCTATGTTAAAATAATAAGAAGTGTATACACTTATTAATACTTTGTGACAATAAAATATAACCAAAACTACACATGCTTTTCTTGTCGTCATTTCCGTATAGCGTATCGGGAATTTCAATGCCCTGGTGTAAATTATAGTAACACTGGCTTAACGATAGTAGACGTGAGTGATGGTGATATGTCAACACCTGTTATCGAGACTAGGCAATGTGTAATCACACGTACTTCATAAATAAAGATCCCGATGCAAAGACATAATTATAGAGACTCACGGGAACACACTGACACGAGACCAGATGACTTTAAGAAGGTCATATATGACGCGCTTGGAATGTGCATTAATATCTTTTGCGTACCAGTCTCACAGGTAGATGCATCTATCACTTGCTTTAATACATTTATCACAAAATCGATATCGATACGATTTTTGCTGCCGATTGAGTTACGCTCTGTCGAGTAAATTTTGTCACAAATGCAGTACACTAACTCTGTGCAACGACACACCCTGGGTGTGTTCGTAACGGCTGTCCGGAACATGTCCGACTGTAGCAAAAAAAATATTACAGGCCTGGCATTTATACAAATGAGATCCGACAGCTACAACGTTATCCTGGTTTGTCGCCATGTTGTGACGTCACTGTTCCGCGCTGCACCACCTTCTCGACCGGCACAACTCGGCGAGTTCCGGACATCTGTTCCATCGCGTTCGAAAGTCGTCCCAGTTGTCCGGGACGTTCTGGACAGCGTTACGAACGCACCCCCTGTGTAGCTTTTGGTTACAATTACCTGACGTATATATCGAAATGGTTGTCCATGTTGACATAATTGAGAAAACAACTGGTTGTATAAGCGAACGATTAATTGTTTTAAATGAGACAATTTTATATCATAAGTTTCATTTTTGATTCATGTAAAGGGAGATAACTGTTGTAAATTGTATACCCCCTACAAACAGATCTGATTTATTGCCAAGAAAGATAACTCTTATCCGGATCAAAAAGATTGTAAAATGTATAATGAATAATTAAGCAATTGTGTATATTTTGATCAATATTTCAATACAATTTCAATAAAAAAACACTTTTTTGTTTTATTGATTTTATGATAAATAAAATATTTGTATGGTTAATAAACAAACTTCTTTTCATTATCTTTATTTTTGATATAGTTCCAAACAATGCCACAACCGATTTTTTTTTTTTTATGAAAATGGATGAAAACTTATTTTTTTCCCAGTTTATCTGAATGCTTAGATTTACATAAAATCTTCTCTTCATAGTTTCATAACCCTTATGTGAATGTTCAAACGAATTATGCTGGTTAATTGTGAGAGAGTGGAGCCTCCTTAAATAGAAACATAATTTACTAACATTTGACATGCCATAGTCCACTACATGTAAGGGAATTATAGACCACGGTTACTTGTATATAGGTTTCCTTGTCAGACTGTGAATTAACCTTTCCATTTCACTGCATTCTTTTTTTAGTTATTCTTTGAAATATAATGATAAACTGTTGTTTTATTTTTCAGAAATACGGGTTGTGTTTTGTACTAGTTCTATGTCCGGTGTTGTATATCCTACAGTGGCAGATTGCCAACATCACTCGAGTGAATGACGTCTCTGTTCCTAGAAAATTACGGAAAGCTGCAGATTCTGCCTCTTTGACTAGTAACCATAACCTACTTCTTAACTCAATACCAAAAACCTACACAAGTGGATACATTGTGTACAAATGCACTAATACAAAACAGTCGGCCTGTGGCGGATGGTCAGACAGATTGTCTGGTATCCTTTCAACCTTTGTTATATCTCTCCTGACGAAACAGCGCTTTTTGATCCACCATGATCAGCCTTACCTTCTACAAGATTATCTGGCTCCAAATGAATACGACTGGAGATACAATTCAAGCATCCTCACCAAACTAAAACGGACCAATCATAACTTAGATAATGCTAATTCTGTAAAGATCAAGAAATACCTTTACGGGAAAAAAGATCTAAACAACTACTTCAAACGTAACAAAATACATTTCATACGTATGAATTGGGACTTTACGGAGGTTTTCAGAACGAGATCACACATTGGAAGGGATGTCCCATGGATTACAAAGTTACATTATGCTGATATATACAAAGAACTCTTTAATTATTTGTTCAAACCCTCTGAAACTCTTTCCCGTGCTTTAAAAGCTCAGAAACGACCTAGGTCTAAAACAGCTTGTGCTCATATCCGTATAGGACGCAACCCAACCGTTCCTAATGATCCCCCAAGACACCAACAGCCTATGGACATTTTGTGGAATTTCTTTGATAGACTAGATAAAGATTTATATAATATCTTTGTAGCAACTGATGATGATAGAATTTTAAAGACAGCTAGAGATCGTTATCCGGAAGACATTATTGACACTTATGGGAAAATAGGGCATATAGCTAAACTGCCAGAGGAACAAAAAGGCAACAAGGATATATTTGTAAAAATGTTTTTGGATTTTTCTATGTTAATCAACTGTGATATATTGATTCTTACGGAGAGTGGATTTGGCATGGTTGCTGCTTACATTCGAAATACTGACGCTGACTTGTATTGTTGGAGAGGTCCCGAACTGAGGCCGGGTTCAAGGTACACAGTCCATCATATGTTTAAATGGCCTCTACTCGCACCCTCCAATGCATTTCCCATTGGTAGTCGAGTATAGTGCTTATAGCCGGAATTCCAGCTGACTCTATTACACCTATCCTGATTGGTACAACGTAAATATCTGTCTGATATTCTGATTTAACCGCTTCGCAAGGGTTGCTTATTTCCATACCCACCTAAAGGAATCAATTACATTTGATAGGTCAATCACATGTTATATTAAAATAAGATATTTTGTGGACCGAAACAAAACTTCAAAGGGATACATTCAATAAGGGGGCACATCAGGGGGTGTTATTTAATTTGTTTTTATTTTATCTTGTTTA